TCCAACTGCCACCGCCAAGTGCCTTCAGATCGAACCGGTACGCTCGCTGGAACAGATCGCTCCTCACTCCCTCGATCGAATTGGTACAGGGCTCCTTCTCTCGACCGATAGCCCAAGCTAGGCTGCCTCCAACCGGCCCAAACTGGCCCAGCAACCTCCCAGCTGGGCTGTAGCGCTCGAAGAAGCTGCCGATGCTCTCGAACGCTCCTGCGATCGCTAGGTGGAGTTAGAAGCGAGGAGAAGAAGCTGGATATGTGAAGTTTTCAGAAGCCAGAGGAGTTTAGAACATGCCCTAAGAAGAAGAACCTCGAAGAGTACCAAGCTCAAAGAGAGGAGGGTTGAGCTCGCGGCTTCTTCGGAGGATACCGAAATATTGACCATGAGGATGGACAAGTTGGATAACGATGCAACGATGATCGTGTGTGTCGTCCATGTCAATACGTTCAAGCGCTTGGCGTCGAGATGGAGGCAAACGAGAAGGAGGCGGGTGGTTAGGAGGAGCCGGCGACAGAGTGAGATAGAAGGCTCAGACAACCTATCTGGTAGGAAAAAATGCCATTTTTGCACACTATCGGACTGAAACTTTTACGATTGGGTGCATGTAAAAACTATGAACATCCACCTCTTTTTTGGTTGTGATCGAGTGTTATGAATAGCACACTTCAATTTGCTCACATTTCTATACATGGAAAATGAGATTGGTTGGACCTAGGAAGACATTTAGGGGATGCGGTTCCATGGCCGGCTTCCGCACACGAGTCCACGGACTGGTCCAAACCACTTCGTGGACAAATAGTGTGTTTGTTTTAGGGGACGACGTTGGAGATGCCCTTAGAGCATCTACAACACTTGTTGCCTAATTTGGCCCCCTAAACGCCCTCGAAAGCGGTTGGGTGCGTTGGCGATCATTGACGGCCACACCTCATTTGTCCCTGTCCACAACCACACTCCCCATATGTCCGCACCCAAATCCATACAAAAGCATGCAAGCTAGTTTGGCGGTCAGTTCACTACTAACTAAAACGCAAGATTAAAAAGTAATTAAACATAGGGAGTCGGGTTGTGTTCACCACTTCTAAGTCCGACACTTCCTCTTACGGTCCCGGGAGCGCCGGTTGTCCCTGGCGTAGGCGTTGGCGATGGGTGGATCATCATCGTCGGTGGTGTCACCATTCGAGGAGGAGGAGAAGATGATCCCTGCCATGCGACGGGCGACACGTGCCTCCTCCATCGTGAGCCTTGCGGCTCTCTCCGATGTCATAGCCCTCTATCTCACCAGCCTCTCTGACTCCTCGAGCCCGATGTGGAGCGCCACCACATTATTAAAGTGACGTTGGTGAGTGTCCGTTTCCGCAAAGGTGTACGAGTGGCAAATGGCGTCGCGGAGGGCCTCGTCATCGTCGTTGGCAGGTGGCAGCGGTTCCAACGAGGATCTGCAGGACCCGCAGCCATAGCAGTTGGATGCGGCTTGCACCACCCTCTTCATTGCACGGTGATACATACAGCCCTCGGTCTTTGTCTACCTTACGGGCACTAGAACCCAGCATCGCCCGGGAGGAGCAGCTGCGGGTGGTCTCGAACATAACTGGTCGACCTGCCACCTGACCGGGGAGGCACACCATGTTGTGCTGCCACGGACTGGTGCGGAGCTACGGCTGCCCACCCGGGCCACCGACGAGGACGATCTCCCACCCGGGTCCATCCAGGAGCGGGGGGAGGGGGGACAATGTGCAACGTTAGCTCCTTGTCGTCCGACTTGGCTGATCTTGGGGATTCCGCGACTAGCTTCTCTCAGACAATCACATCGGAATTGTTGTTGGATTCATGCCTGACCAAGGCGGAGGTAGAGGGAATAGGGCGGGGAGAGGAAGGGGAGGAGATTGGAATGGATCAGAGAGTGTGATTGACTAGGGTTTGGTCATGCGGCTGAGGTATTTGTGGGCACATGGGTTGGGATTACCTGGGCCATAGTGGGTTGGTCCGATGTGGCGGCGGTGTCCAGACACGTCCAAAACTCCCTGTATCCGCCCTACATATGGGCTGGGCATGGGGGTTGCCGGACAACCGGACATTTGAACTGCGTTTGAGGAGCGCCCTTAAGTGCCAAATTTCGATTCAGAGGGCAGACCGTCTAGACGTTTGGGGAGGATATGGGTCGTCCGGCTGTAGATGTTCTTTTACCATCTAAACAAAGTCCCCTGTAAAATACTCATTTCTTCTCTTCAATGGTAGAGTACACCTGTACTCCCTCCATAAAGAAATATAGGGTAGATCACCAGGGAATATGAATTTTACAGACGAGCAGATCCCTTACCGCATGTTCCTTTAGAGTGATTATAAGGGTCGCGGAAAACGTGTTTTGAGGGCTTGCACGGGATGCGGCGGAACAGACCTCGCAAGGCTGACTTCGGCCTTGCGGGGTCTGTTCCGCCGCAGGCCGCGTGAGCCCTTAAAACAAAAAAACAAAGTAGACAATTTGACAGTAATTTCGATAAATGGCTACAAATTCGAACAATCAAACATAGTTTGCACGGAAATTAAGCATAGTTTTCATCCATGACCCAAAAGAACCTCATGCAAAAGCCACCACCATCTCCATGACCATCATCATCATCATCATCATCATCATCATCATCATCATGATCACTCTACACCACTGCCACCGATGCAAAAGCCACCACCACCTCCATGACCATCATCATCATCATCATCACTCTCCACCGCTGGCACCAAAGCCACCACCCATCGCTGCTTGCTTCCTTCTCTCCAAGATCTCCCTCCTTACAATATCATGTCATTTTTTGGTAAGGTCGTCCATGTCATTGTGGTTCATCGTCATGATCTTGTTCTCCTCTTGAAGAAGCTTGGCGGGCCTTGTTCTCCTCCGCAAGGGCTCTTCTCTCCTCAATGGCGGCCTTGCGCAACCCCTCCTCCTTGAGTAATTGCCACTTTTCTTGCTTCTCTTGCGCCTTCTTGTCAGCCAACTCCTTCTTTGCCTCCAATGTCTTGGCCACCATCAACTCATTTGATTGCACCATGGCACTTATCTTGTCCCACAAGCTTGATGCCTCCGCTTCCCTCTTGATCTTGTCCTTCACCTTCTTGTTTCCATCGGGCTTGTTCTTGTTTCTTGGGCCATCATCATCCAACTTGGTGAGTGAACCTCTCTTCGGTGGAGATTCTTTGTCAATCAACTTTCACTTCTCGCTATTTTGAAGCAATTCCCAACACTAGTGTAAATGACTTGCTATTGGAAGTGTCCATGTCCTTGTACCTTTCTTGCGCAATTTTGGGCTACAAAATGAAAACAATATCAAAGTATGTCACACGCAACCACTCACATAATCATTTTGCACTACCTGGGACGTGAAAACAAACTCACATAACCGGCTTCAACAGTACCACTTGGAGGTGCATTGTGTACTTGCTCCAAGCAACCGCTCCAACAGCTACAAATCGGCTTGATCATATCCCAATGACCTTGGAGTGACCGATAGGTGCGGGGCATCCTCGAGGGATACTTTGACATCATTCGAAAGATTTGGTCATCTATCCTTTGACAATACTGCTTGGCGGTTTGGTCAGTGCCGGTGCATGCATCAAGAGACAAAGATTCACAAGCCTTGATCAAGACTCGATCTTCCAATTGTGTGTAGTTATTCGATCTCGCATGCACTTTTGCTTGCGATTGGTCGAACACCCCCTCCCCAATCACCTCCACCTCATCTTCTTCTTCACCGTGACCGTGCACACCACCATCCATCTCATTGTAGCCGTAATTACCGATCGAGGCTTGATCAATGTCGATGGCGTTGTCGTCCAACATGTGCAAAAATTTGGCAGTCGCATCATGCAAATCGATGCTACATTTTCGCTCCTCAAGTCACGTACAATCGCAATGGCAAAAAGTAAAAACAACCACAAGAAAATCAAAGATTCATACCTTGCGCCCATTCCGTCGAACACCTCGGGGGCGGCGGCAGCAACGTCGGTGGCGGGCGTCCTCGGGGGAGCTCTTGGGGTAGCGATCAAAGGAGGTGGTGGCACGGTGCTCGCATGACCTTTTGTGGTCGTCTTCTTGCATTTGACCCCGGCCACCTTGCGCATCTTTAACGGCGGGGTGGGGACGGCCTGCACCGGATTCGCAGCGGCCGCGGGGCGGGCGGGCGTGCCTTCCCAGCGGCGACTGCAGGAGCGCCGCTCTGGACGACAATGTTGCCCTGGCGCTTGCGGGGATGGGCGGTCGAGGTTTGAACGGCGACGGGCGCGACACGGCTGGCGATGAGATCTGCTTGAGGGGTTGACGCGTCCATGACTTCCACGACGACGGGCGTCGGTTGGGAGGCGTCCATGGTGGTGCTACAGAGCCTGGGATGGTGGTCCGGAGCGGGCGGAGGAAGAATAATGGCGACGGACGGAAGGAAGAGCAGGAACTGCCGCGCGGAAATGTCCCTCCCGCCAAATCTTGCTAGCGATAGGGGTCAGCCTCCCGCCCCGTGTTTCTAAAGGTTGAGGGGAAGAATTTGCCGCGCCCCGTAAAAACTTTAAAGGACCGCTGTCCGATATGATATCTCTTCGAGCCATTTTTTTTCGAGCAACACTATAAACTGACAGTTATTTTATGGGTCGGCGCGATATAAAAGGTGCGCTCGAGCCTCGAGATGCTCTTACAATCAAAACCGTATAGATAGTTTCGCGAGCCAGCCCAAGCAGAATAGAATTTTACCGTAAGTGTGCCCATGCTCGTTGCCACCGGGGTGCCCAAACAAAGGCTAAAGTAAAGTTCATCGGGAGCCACACTAAAGATTCCCCCTCCCCTATCCTGGGAGCCCGTTGCCCTCGTCTTTCTCCATCTCCTCCAGATCAACCGACTGTCACGCTACCACACACCATTACCAGTTGCTGAAGAGTGAGAGTGAGCAGTAGAGGCGCTGCTCTGTCCTGACATTGCACGCCCTTGTCGCCGAGCTCTGCATTGCGTCCGCTAGCAGCCATCCTCGATGGGGTTGCCGGGATGTATCGCCGTCATTGTGCTCCTTCTGATTTCATGGAGAGGTAAATAGATTTGCGGTAAATTGATGCTTCCTGGTTTCTTCTTTGCTTCGGTAGTGTAATGGCGGGCGAGCTGACGCGGCGCGCTGTATTTCTTGGTGGTGTGCAGAGGGGGAGGCGGCGATGTTCACGTTCGTCAACCGGTGCGCGGACACGGTGTGGCCGGGCGTCCTGTCCAACGCCGGCACAGCGCGGCTCGGCACCACGGGGTTCGAGCTCCCGCCGGGCGCGTCGCGCGCGGTGCCGGCGCCCTCTGCCTGGTCCGGCCGCCTCTGGGCCCGCACCGGATGCGCGCAGGACGGCGCGTCGGGGCGGCTCGTCTGCGCCACCGGCGACTGCGGCTCCGGCACGGCCGAGTGCGCCGGCGCCGGCGCGGCGCCCCCCGCGACGCTGGCCGAGTTCACGCTCGACGGGACGGGCGGGCTGGACTTCTACGACGTCAGCCTGGTGGACGGGTACAACCTGCCGGTGCTGGTGGAGCCGTCCTCCGGAGAGCGCCCCGGCGGCGCGTCGAGCGCCGGGTCCTGCGCTTCGGCGGGGTGCGCGGCGGACCTGAACGCGATGTGCCCAGCCGAGCTCCGGTCCGGCGGCGGCGCTGCCTGCCGGAGCGCGTGCGACGCGTTCGGGCGACCCGAGTACTGCTGCAGCGGCGCCTACGCCAACCCCGGGACGTGCCGGCCGACGTCCTACTCGCAGGTGTTCAAGATGGCCTGCCCGCGCTCCTACAGCTACGCCTTCGACGACCCCACCTCCACCTTCACCTGCGCCGGCGGCCCCGACTACACCGTCACCTTCTGCCCCGGCGCCACCCCGAGGTCAGCCTCACTCTCAGCTCTCCTCCATTGACGCCCTGCAAGTCCGGATCTGGTTGGTTCTTGCCTTGCCAAAGGGGGCTGATTTGTCTCAGAGATCAGTGACTTTCCGTGTGATTAAAATGGAAGAGATCTGCAGATCTGAATCTAGCAAGATATTTTAGCTTAGCAGCAGAACAGGGTGGACATAAAGGACGAGCTTCCTTTGCCGTTATGTGCATTTGGTTTACTGTTTCCGCCATTCCCGTGACCTCACCACGTGCCCCTGTTCTGTCCTTTGTCACACGAGCAGCCAGAAGTCGACCACGGTGCCGGCGGCCACGACGCCGACGCAAACGACCCCCACGCCGACGACGGTGCCTCGGATGGAGACGCCGACAACGACGGTGCCTGCGACGGATACGCCGGCGATGATGCCGGGGATGACGTTCACGGACGCCAACCAGGACAGCATGCCGATGCCGATGGGCGGCGAGGCCGGGACTGGTGGTGGCGGCAGCATCCAGGGCCAGGGCGTGATCCTCGGGGGCGCCAGCAGCGACGCCTGGCTCGCCAACATGGCCACCGGCGACGTGACGGGCGCAGCAGCGACATCACGCGCCGCAACCTCGGCGCGGCTAGTCGCCGCGCCATTGGTGCTGCTCGCGCTCCATCTGCTGCGATAGATGGAGGTCGCCGGAGCACTGATTGATCGGTGCAATGTGTACGGGTGAAAAGAAAGAGAGATTGGTTGTAGGATTAGATTTGGAGAAACCATTGTAACATTCCGTGTTGATGGGATTTTGTTTTATGTAGGAGATTGTTGGTTAACTGATGTTTTAGCTCAGTTCAGCTCCGGTATAATCATTGTAACTCAACCGGCATCGCTAACCGAGACAACGCAGGGACACTTAGGCGGTGTTTGTTTCAGTTTCAGGACCAGGTACAACTTTTCTGAAACAAATAGCTATTCGAATCAGCTTTGAAAAATCAGCCAAAATCTGATTCCAGCATTTTCCCAGTGTATATTTGGGTAAAGCACATTCCGATGTACTTACTTCAGTGCCAAAAAGCACAATGCAAGCAGATTCAAGTGCCGGATTATGGCTGATTCAGACATGGTACGGTAAAGGAACGGGTTGGACCGAAAACTGTCATATACCACATACAATATAGGAGGAATATATAGATGATTTAAACTAAAATTATACAGAAACAACGAGAAAATCTTAATACTTGTACACTTTAAGCACACATAAAACACTAGAAAATACTGAAATAAGCCAAATAAATCACTAATAAGCATATGCCTCGTCTCATAAGCAAAGATGACATTCACGTATTGCTAGTTAATACTTAAAACTTTACACATAAATTGAATATCATTATTTAAATATGTCGGATTATCCTTTTAAAAATAGACTCGGAACAATAGTAGTATCATATCCTATACCGTATCCTATCAGTCGGACTTGGATTCGGTTCAGATGGCAAATATCTCTTACCGTAGCTTATAAAAACGGTTCGAAAGTGGATTCAATCAAAAATTATCCTAACCAATTTCACTCTTTTTTAAGACCAAAGACTCAGAAAGAGCTCAGCTTTGAATTAACGAAGCCATTAATCAGCTA